CAGTCATCTCCAAACATGGGCTTTTTTCTTGTCACAATAGGCTCTCTCTCTCCTTTGGGCCTCTGGTCAGCTTGGGGGTGAGGAGAATCTTCCCACAAAGAGAAGTTGGGGAAGGCATGGTGAAGCCTCCTCCAAACACAAGAATTTTCCAATCGGGGTGCCCAGCTTGGTCCAATAGGGGCAGATGGCAGGGGGAGGGGACTGAGAGGCCAGTGGGAGGCACGGTGGGCTCTATTAAACCTTTAGCCATTAAATCAATGACATGCAAGCAAAATGTCAATAACATTTAAATTTACACTCAGTTTGGAACTCTTTGGGGTGCAGCCCCTAAAGTGTATGGAGAGAGGGTACGTTTTGGTTAGGAAAGTAGATTTGGGGGTGTACTGCAGTTCTTCCCCTTCCCCTGAAGAACCTCTTTTCCTTTTCTGCCCCCCTTCCAGGGTCACCCCAGTCCTAGCCAAACCTAGTACTACCACCCTCCTGTAGCATGGAGGAGAGACTCCCCCTGCAGCACCCCCCTCCCTCCTAAAATTGCCTGACTACGGTGGTACTTTGGGGGTTCCTGAATCTGTTTCTCTTCTGGCTAAGGTCATACGCCGCTTGGGTCCTGTTGGTCCTGTTGGTCGAGACAGGGTCCTGCTGCCCTGCCCCTCACACCCAGATCCCACTCTTAAAGATCAACATGGAGTTGCAAGATAGAGGGGTGCAGAGAGGGACTGGGCTGCCCTGCAGGCCTGCGGAGCCTGCCACTCACCTCCAGGATCAGCTCCTCCATTTCAAACTGTCTTTGTGAGGCCTTGTCGTCCTTGGGGGGTTCGTGGTAGAGCAGTGCCAGCACCTCGTACTTCTTGAACACATTCTTGTAGTTCTTTGCGTTGACATTGACCACACGGTCCACACCATCATACTCGGGGAAGTCCAGCCCGTCTTGCCCCTGCACCCCTGACTTGAGTGTCCCTAGCACCAGCAGTAACAGCAGTGCCAGCCGCAGGCCGGGCACAGCTCTGGCCCCCATCCTGTCTGCAGCACTCATGGAGGTAGTGGGATCTGGGTCGGCTCTCCTGGTCCAGAAGAGGTTAGCTGGGGTAAGGAGGGGCCACTGGGTCCCAAATCCTGAGTTAGGGGCTCACGGTGGGGGTGGGGTGAGGAAGGGCCCAGAGCAGTGGACAGAGGACACTGCTATAGGTCCTGGAGAAACTGCCGACAGAGCCAAGAGAAACAGGGTCAGGGGAGGGCTAGGAGCAGGGGGCGGGGAGGGAACCGGAGCTGCCCTTGAGGTTGGCACCCCTCGGCCCCCACCTGGTCCTGTCTAAATATGTCTCCAGGATTGGCAGGAGAGACGGATAACCTCCTGAGGCCAGGACGGCCCCGTGAGGGCCGGGATCGTCCTACCTCCAACACCTCTCACCCAGACTCCCAGAGCCTCCTCTCCTCCCCCTCCCCCCCAATGTCCAGGGCTCCTGGGCCCCTGTCCCCACACCGGCCTAGGAGCTCATCGCCATATTAAGGAAGAAAAAAGCTGGAGCTAAAAATAAGACCAGATGAGTCGGAGGTAAATGAAGCTGGGGCTGGGGGAGGGGAGGCTTGGGGGTAATTAGGGAGAGTGGAGCAAGGGCAAGGGTACTCAGAGAGAGGGAAATGGGGCCCGCAGAGGAGGAGGTATTCTGGGTCAGAGGTTAAATTTGTCGTCCATTTGTAAAAAGGGGGGCAAATGTGGTATTGCCTCTAAGTCCTAAAACCTGGGACTCTCCTCTAGGTCAAGTCTGTTTCTTTGATCCCGTGGAGGAAGCGGGCAGGGGGTGGGGGGGAGTACAAATGCAATCCAGGCTGCAGGAAAGAGACCCCCTGCACTTCCCTTTAAAGAACCAAGACCAAGGATGAGGTCATTCTCTGAATAAAAGATGGAGCCGAGTCCAGGACTGGCGCCCTGGCTCAGCTCCAGCCAGTTTCCTTTGCTTCACTCAACACTCCTAACTGGAGTATGCAGAGGAAGGACGGAGCGTGGGGCGTGAAGTGCTGGCCCTTGGAGTCCTTGGAGATGCGGATCTGGGGCTTCTCTGCCCACAGACCCGAGAGGACAAGGAGAAAGTCGTTCGGCTGCTGCCTCCTGCTTGTACTCTCTACTCTGATCCTATGGGACTGGTTTTCTAGGGCACAGTGGGAAGGAGGATTCCCCTGGCTGAATGATTCCAAGGAGAGCAAATTGTGACTATTCATTCCTACGTCTTTGACGAGACAAAAAGGTTCAGGTATCAACGGTAGGGAAAAAAATGAACACTGGGAAACATCAAGAGGTGGGGCCCTGTGCCCGGAACCAAGGATGCTGCTTAATTCTGTGCAAAGCAGAGCTGGTGCAGAGGGGCTCTAAATTCCTGGATCCCAGCTTGGGGGTGAGGGCGGAGTGGATGGGCTCAGCTCTGGGTACATTCAAGGACCCTCTTCACGGCCCTCCAGGGCTTATGCACAGGTAAGCAGAGGCACGAGGGAGACCAGAGAGAGGCTAGATCAAAGTCAGAAGCCCCCATGCCCACCCTGAGGTGTCAACGATGTTGGAGGCCCAGCAGGTGTTTTGCACCATGAAGTTATGTTAGAGGAATGACCTTTCCGCACTCCCACAGGGCAGACCTTACACGGCTAAGGAAGGAAGGCCAGGGAAAATCTCAAGAACGTGGCAGGAGTGGGTCCAGGAGAGACAGCTGTCATTGGCACAGGAGAGGCCAGAGGTAGCTAGGCAGGGCATGCTGGAGCTGGAGAGACCTCAGAACCCATCTCAAGAGAGTGACCAATGTGCCCACAGCCCTATGACCAGAGCAAAGACAGCAGGAGAGACAGGTGGACCCGCCCGGACGTGTGTGACCTAGATGACGTCCAGCCCCAACTTCTCCTTCTGCTGCGCTCTGGAGGAGAGGGGAACACTGGGACAGAGACATTGGGACCTTAGACTCGTTCCATCCTGAATCTGACCTCTCGCACCCCCAGGGTGTGAGATGGGACGAAACGGTGACCCAGGCCTGGCCCATTCCCTCTCCGCTTCTGCAGCTACCAGGCTGTTTCATCCCATCCTCCTCCCTCTCCTTGGCCCTGGCTCTCCAGAGCCACCCGGATCCCTTCCAGCAGCTGCACCACTCCCCTCCTCCCTGTCCTCCTCTCCCATACTTTGCTCTATACTTTCTATTCAAATCCTTCCCTCTAGGCCCCTGCCTTGAGGCTCAGCCACCGATATCAAATGACCCTAATTTGGGGCCTCTGTATTTTTAACCCACCAGACACCCAAAGCTCCTGCTACTGAAACTTGAGGAGCTGGCCCCTCCATGCTCCCCCACCCCACCTCACACACACACCCTGGCCCCTCCGTCTTCTGGGCTCTGGTTCAGCCCTGTCAGCATCAGGGAAGGACCCCAGGCTGATACAGCCCTGTCCCTAGGAGACCTCGTGTTGGAGGAGAGAGGGGAGCAGGTGGGAGAGAGACCTCTGAGGAGGGCCCGATGTAGGGGGAGAGGGGCTGGTGTACCTTACGACAGCCTTCCCTTTGCTAGTCCATGGCCTCTCATCCTCCAGACTCGTCCACAGCCCTTCCTCTATCACTATCCTATTTTTCTTCTTTTGCATTGGTATATTTTTGGCCCAGCCTTCATCATAGGACTAGCCTGAAAAGTGGTTGAGGGCACATGTTCTGCAATCAGACAGACCTTGGTGTCCTCATCTATAAAACCGGGTGGGGTGGTAAGAATGTATTTGTTGTATGGATTAATGGATGGTGTGAGTAAGGCCTTTGTCTACCGCCAGACAGAATGTGCGGTCACTTAACACATGTGCTTTGTTTTTGGTGACAGTCTACGATTTCCACCAGCTTTTCTCAGCATTTCTGTCTCTCTGTATGCTGTTCGGCACAGCCAACCCTCTCCTCTAAAAGAAGGCTGAGAGTGAACCGATCCACAGGGTAAAGTGGACCAGCTCACAGAGCAAAAGCCAGCGAGTGGGTGAAGAGGAAGGAAGAGCTGCGGCCAAGGGTGGGCAGGAGAGAAAGGCTCGCAGGGACTCCTCACGTGCCTGAGACGCAGCAAGTGCTGGACCCAGGCTCGGAGGCCAGGCTTTGGGGAACATCCATCACCTGTGTGGAGCTGGGGCATGAGGGGGTGGGTGCTTTGCCTAGAGTAAAGGCTACGGGGATCCATTCAGCGTTGTTCCAGCCTCTATTTCAAGGTTACGCCAGAGAAAACAGCTGAGGCCTGGGATGGGGTCGAGATGCCCTAATGACCGGGGGTATGGGAACACCAATCCCTTCCTCAGAGGCAGGGCAGTGGCCCCACATTCACCACTCACCACGTGGCCCCTTCCAAGTCATTTAACCTCTCTGGAGCTCAGGTTCTTCGTCATGAAATAAGGTCTAGCACGAAAAGTCTATGAGTCTGTGAGTTGATCTGAGGAACTGAGTGGGCGCTGTGGCCCCTCTGTAACGTGTGGCTCCCCTGCTCCTCTCTCACCTCCTCTGTTTTTCTGATCCCAGGACTTGTCATGTCCTTGCTCTCTGTCGGGTTGGAGAGTGACTTTGAGGGGGTAGCCCTCAAGGGGCAAGGATGCTTGATTCTGATCCCTTCCCAGCCTCGACTCTGGTCCCTGAAAGACTTCCCCTGCCTGGCTCCCATGAAGATCTAGGGAGAGAGCGTCTCAGTAATCCCCATTCTCCAAAAATCAGATGCGACACATCCAGGAGCTAAGGGCTGCTGCAAACATTTACTCTCTTGACTGGCTACTGAGCCCCCTGCTGGGCTCCAGTCAGATGCAGGCTGGGCTCCCCTCAACCCACCTCATCTCCTATCCATGGTGCCCTTAACCCAGCCCTAGGATCACCTGTCTCTCTCATCCAAGGTTCTTCCTCCTGGCATCTCCCTGCCCCAACTAATGTGCACTCTCAGTTTTCCCAAACTCATTACCACAACCCTCCCCCACCTGGCGCTCAGGACACCCTGATGTCATGTGAAGATCTTCCTCTGTTGAGTTTAGTAGTAGGTCTCCTTCTCCAGCCAGCCTGTGGAAGAGAAGAGACCAGAGCGAACTGGGGAAGGCCTCAAGGGGAGAAAAACAGAAGGGTGAGGCTTGACGGTGGAAGGCAGGGCCCTGAGGGTTAGAAGGAGCTGCGTGCTGGGGTCAAGGACTAGAGGGCAGTGTCCAGGCACAGCACAGGCTGGGCAGTGAGCTGGGGAGAAGGGCAGTGGGCTTGGAGGAACCAGGGGGAGTGGGGCAGCTGTTCAGGACGCTCAGGCCAGGGTGCAGGGGAGCCTCACCGCCAGGGTGACGACGGATGATGAGTTTTCTGATTTCATCATAGACAAAGATGAGGACGCTGTAGGGAGTGGCACAGAGCCACCAGGTTATCCTGAAGAGAGCAAAAGCTGGTCAGCGGGGGTGGAGATAGAGGGGCCAGTGAAAGGCAGGTGCAGAGAACAGTGCCCGGGAATCGAGTGTTTCGTTTGTTGTGTGGGAGGTTGATCCCTACCTTTGAGGAGGTCAGAGCCTGGGGAGTGAGGGCGGAGCGGCCCAAGACAGGAGCATAAAAAGCCAGTGAGAACAGAAAGGGATAAATGCCATATTAGAGGTACATGCAGTGCTCACAGAGATTGTCGACCAGCTGGAGTCGCTGAGGGAGACTTCCTTTGCTTTCTGGGTTCTCTAGACCTTGCACACACAAACTCCAAGCAGGATGGGTCTGAGACTAGATGTGGGGTATATCTTGCCAGGGAATATATACACTCTTCCATATTGCAAAGATGGTGAAATCTTTTTCTTCCTGAATCTCTTCTATAGACCAGGAAGATGGACTCAGGGGAAGGGTTGAATCAGGACCACATTTGTCCCTTGGATGATAGAGAGATGGCTTAGAGCAGCATTGTCCAATAGAAATATACTGTGAGGGCTTCCTTGGTGGCACAGTGGTTAAGAATCCGCCTGCCAATGCAGGGGACACGGGTTTGAGCCCTGGTCCGGGAGGGTCCCACATGCCACAGAGCAACTAAGCCCGTGCGCCACAACTACTGAGCCTGCACTCTAGAGCCCGTGTGCCACAACTAGTGAAGCCCGCGTGCCTAGAGCCTGTGCTCCGCAGCAAGAGAAGCCACCGCAATGAGAAGCCCGTGCACCGCAACGGAGAGTAGCCCCCGCTCGCCGCAACTAGAGAAAGCCCGCGCCCAGCAACGAAGACCCAACAAAGCCAAAAATAAATAAATAAAATAAATAAATTTATTAAAAAAAAAGAAATATACTGTGAGCCACATGTGATAGTTAATATTTTCTAGTAGCCACATGAAAATAAGTAAAAATAAACAAGTGCAATTAATTTTAATATTTTATTTAACCCCAAATATCCAAAATATTATTGCTTCAACATGTAATCAATATAAACATAGGGCTTCCCTGGTGGCGCAGTGGTTGAGAGTCCGCCTGCCGATGCAGGGGACGCGGGTTCGTGTCCCGGTCCGGGAAGATCCCACATGCTGTGGAGCGGCTGGGCCCGTGAGCCATGGCCGCTGAGCCTGCGTGTCCGGAGCCTGTGCTCCGCAACGGGAGAGGCCACAACAGTGAGAGGCCCGCATACCGCAAAAAAAAAAAAAAAAAAAAAAAACCATAATTAATGAGTTATTTTACATTCTTCTTTTTATCCCGAGTCCTCGAAATCCAGTGAGCATTTCACACTGACAGTGTATCTCAAGTCAGACACTAAATTTTCAGTGATTAAAGGAAAATGTAGTCTAACCAAAACAATAAAGTTGTATTTAATTGAAAAATATTTGACACTGGTTTAGCTTTTAACATTCAGTTAACTAAAATTGTAAATTCAATTTCTCAGTCTCACTAGCCACATTTCAAGAGCTCAGTAGTTGCATAAGGATGGTGGCTACCATATTGGACAGGGCAGGCCTAGGCCATGGTTCATTACACACACACACACACACACACACACATACACCCCTCAACCAATATAAACAGTTACAGACATACAGTCATGCATTCATTCAACAACAATTATCATGTCTACTCTGTGTATGTGCTAGGTCCTGGGGAAATAAAAATGATGACATGATGGTCTTTGATCTCAAGAAGCTCAAGCAATCAGGGAAAAGAGGTTAGATGAACACACAAAATAAATAATCACAGTATTAGGTGATGAGTTTTATGGTCAAGGTATGTACAAGAGTGTTTGGGAGCACAGTTAACGCTCAACCACGTTTACTATCATTTATATGTTGACATTAATAGCAGCAACAACTGAGCTACTATTAACAAAGTGCCCACCGGGACCCAAATGCCATGCTTCATGTATTATATGCATTTCTACCTGTAATTATCAGAACAATCTGCCAGGTGTGTGTTATTGAGACTTTACAGTTGAAGCTGAGGCTCAGAGAGGTTACCAGCTTGTCCAAGGTCATAGAATAATACACAGTACAGCCAAAATTCAAACCTGGAATTGTCAGTATCTAAGGGCAGTGCCAGTGTCTTTTATTAAACATTAATTGAGCAGCTACAGAATACAAAGCATTGTGTAAAACACTCCAAGGGACAGAAAGGTGAGCAAAGTGTGTAAACACATAGAAACTCAGTTGGAAGACTACACACTAAATTATTAATAGAGGTTACCAATGCAGGGTGGGGGAGGAGTGGGAATGACATGGGAGTTTTGCTTTTTTCTTTATAAAAATGTTAAATGGAAAAGTTTCACAAGCATATACTAATGTAGAAAACAAAGAAACGAAAACTTGGGACTTGAACCAAATAAGGTACCAGACAGTAAGAATTTCAGTGTGTCCACCCACCTATATGCACATTAAAACGGATTTGCAGAAGTACAGCAGAGTTAGCCATGCATAGATTAGGCTGTTTTATGATTACACCAGCTCCAAGCAATGTGTAGCCTGGGACAGCTATACCACACATTATCATAGAAAAGGTACCACTCTGTTAAGCACTGGCAAATCTGCTAAGTTTGCATGTCTACTGGGTTGCGATCACTTGGTACAGTCCCCAATTTCTCCCCGGATAGGATGCGCTGTGGGAGCACAGGCAGTTCTCTCTACGTCACTGAGTAGAGCCTGCTCTCCTCTTGACTTCCCCGCTCAAACACGCCTCCTCCCATGTGCTCTCTCTGTGCCCAGCGACGCCCCGCCTTGCACCCCTCCCCTCACTCACTTGAGTGGTTACATTCGCAGGGCCACATCCATGCCTGGAGTGTAGGACAGAAAAGGAGCCAGGAACGTCTCCTCCAGGATCCCAAATATTAGGATCCTGTTTCTGAGAGGAAATGTTTAAGGGGGTGTTGGAGGTTGGGAGGGAGAGTTAGGGGTGCAGTTTGGCATGTGAACTCCAACACCTTGCGCTGTTCATAGGTCTGGGGGAGGGTGGGCAGAGGGGAGCCGTCAGTGTCAGGAGGGATTCAAATATGCCTCAAAGGCTTCTTCCTTCTCCTGCCTCCCCGGACCCCAAGGCTGAGATAGGTCCCCTATTTAGGTTCCTGCCGCCCTTCACGTGTATCTCTGTCTTAGCACTTTCTATGTTGTAATTGTGAGTTGTTTATATGTTTGCCTTCCTTGACTGAGAGCCCCTCAAGGGCAAGCACCTTGTCTTACTTACCTCTGTGTGTCCTCTCCCCATGCTTCGTTCAGTGAGTGGCAGGTACTATGGCTCAATAAATATTTACTAAGAAGAAGGGTGGTGTAAGAGAAGAAGGTGGACTTCAAGAGGAAAACAGAGTCAGAGGAAAAAGGTAAGGAAGATGGGGCCGGAGGGGAATCTGCATGCAGAGGGGAAAGGGATACCCGGAGAGTGGTACCAGATGGGAGGCATTCACTCATCCATTTGTTCATTCTTTCATTCACATTTTACACAGAAGGAACTTAGAGTCCAGTGGGGAAGATAAATATGCTATGTCAGCACAGTAGGTAGGTTACAAGAGGGAGATGACAGAGGGCTATGGAAACACGGGAGAGGAGCATCTGAATTAGACTGGAGAAAAAGCCCATTTAAAAAGAAATAAAACAGGGCTTCCCTGGTGGCGCAGTGGTTGAGAGTCCGCCTGCCGATGCGGGGCATGTGGGTTCGTGCCCCGGTCTGGGAGGATCCCACATGCCGTGGAGCGGCTGGGCCCGTGAGCCATGGCCGCTGAGCCTGCGCCCCGCAACGGGAGAGGCCACAACAGTGAGGCCCGTGTAACGCAAAAAAAATAAATAAATAAAAATAAAAATAAAAAAATAAAAAAATAAAACAGCATGTTTATAAATAACTTGTAGGTCGAATAAAGAATTTGAAAATATGTAGGACTAAACAATAATGAGACACTACAGATAGAACCTCATGGGTTGTGGTCAATGTTGTACTTGGAGGGAAATATAGAGCCCTAAACAATTAGAAAACAAAGGCTGGAAATCGATGAGCCAAGCATTGAAGTTAGAATGAGACCTGTCAGCACATTTCCGTGCATCAGATCATACCACCACTATCCCCTGCAGCCAGCTACCAAAACTGAGCCACTCCCATCAACACTTGAAAATTTTAGCTCCTGACTCACCATCACTCCAACTGCTGTGTCCTTGGATTTGGAGATTTAAATATACATGTTGATGATCCTTCCCGTACCATGGTCTCACAGTCTTAATCTTCTCCTCCAACTGTATCCTCTACTCCCCACCCGGCTGCTTACTTCCATGGTTAAACTCCAGACATTGTCTTTTCCAGTAGCCATAATTTTTCTGTGATTTTAATTTAATCTTTTCCCTCTGATCACTGTCTTTATCTTTCCATCTCACCTACTCTAGTATCCCAATTCCAACACTTCTTGGACTTGGACTTAAAATCCATGGACCAAATATGTTACATATTTGGCTATTATCTTTCTCCCCTCCCACTCTGTGCCCCTAACTAGAATATAAGCTCCATGAGAGCAGTAACTTGGCCATTTTTGTTCACTACTATATTCCAGGGACAAAATAGTACCTGGTGCATAGAAGATGCTCAACAAATACTTGCTGAATGAATGAATGAAAGCATGGTGATCAATGGAATTACTGCTAGAGGTATTTAGAAGATATGGAGCTATCTAGCAGTATGTAGGGTACTCCCTGGGTAGGCAGCTCTATACTCGATTATCTGAAGATTACAGCAGTGGAAGAGGCAGAGACCTTGCCTTTATGGCGTTTATTCCGCAGGGCAATTGTTCTCAACCCGTTTTGCCATATCTCAAGACACCACTGATGTAATTTGACGTTAATTCAAATTAATTATCTTTAATTTATTGTAAATAAACATGTGTGTCAAGCTTCATCTTGGTAGCAGGGAGATGGTATCAAGATATAAAACTAACAAGGGGCTTGATCTGAGGACTGAGGACATGTTGACAAGGTACATAGCAATGAGGACTCTGGGCATCTTTGGACCCTGGAGCAGTGTTGGTAGCTGGGAACATTGACATCTGTTGGTCTCATGAGGCTCAGATAGTGGAAGCCTACTGTGTATGAGGGGCAATGTTCCAACAGCCCCGATTTTAACATACTTTTGAGAGACCTGCAGTTAGCTTGGTTTGGAGACATCATGGTGAAGTGGGAAAGTGCCGGGCAGGAATCAGTCCAGATTTCTAGTCCAACTGTTATAGGGATTCACTGTGGGACTTTAAGCAAGCCACTAAATCTTTCCAGTAGACCATAATGTCCTCTGTAGACTGTGTGAACTCTGTGGTCCTATGATTCTAGCAAAAATTGGCGTCACATCTCCCACTGTCTTAGAAATTGGGATGGGAGTGTTCACAGATGCAAACAGGCATACTCACTAAAATTCTTAAGCAAATATTGTTGGTTGGAGGGCTTCGGTTTGGACCTTATTCATCTTGGGTGTTAGGCATGACTAATACAGAGACGCATCCTCTAAGTTTAAAAAGTTTAGAAGAACAAGGAAGAGATATACAAAGAAAATACATTTTCAGATTTAAAATCATACTCTTTGACTACCCTTGGAAAAGGAGCATAACAGGAGGAAGTGGACCCAGCACTCATTTCTGGGACAATGATGATTAGAACCTGGAAAACCAGAAATCAGCCCCCAAAAGTTGATTGACAAAGTAGACTTCCAGGTCCAAGGAAGCCAAAAAGACCCAGGAAGATAAGGACAGACAACAGACAGCAGG